ATAGGCAAGATGGGAAGACTGAGGATTAGAGTTGCTAAGCAGCATCCCCAAAGTCATTTCGCTGTACATCCTGGAGTCTAGTTTCATACAAGATTTTTTTCTCTACTTAGTTCCAATTGTTTCTTTCTTTTAAAAATATTTATTGTACATAGCTCTGTGTTACATTAGGACATTGTGAAACAAGTATAGGCTGTAGTTTGAGCATATATCCTTACTCCTAAATCTTCCCCCTCCCTTCCATTAGTTCCCTAGCACTTTTATCTCATTTCCATGCCATACATATGATTTTATGTATTTAATTAATCCTAGGAGTCATAAATGAATTTTTTCATTCTGTGACTGGCTTAATCCACTTAATAATGTTTATCTCCAGCCATACTCATTTTTGTGCAAATGGCATAACTTCCTTATCAGGGCTGAACCTTCTTTTGAGTAGATATACCACCTTTTCTTGTCCATCCCTGTGTTGGTGGGCAGTGAGGTTTATTACTGATTGTGACTGGTGCTTCAGTAGTCATTGCTGTACATCTGTCTCTGTGATAGGCTAACTTGGAGTCCTTATAGACATAGCTGGGTCATGCGGTAGATCTAGTTTTAGTTTTCTCAGGACCCTCTTTGTCCCAATTGTGTGTGTGTGTGTGTGTGTGTGTGTGTGAGAGAGAGAGAGAGAGAGAGAGAGAGAGAGAGAGAGAGAGAGAACACATGAGAGGGCACACATGCATGTATGGGGAGGATGTATGCACCCATATGTGCACACGTGCCTGGAGGCCAGAGATTGACATGGTTGTCTTCCTAATTTACTCTGATACAAGGTCTCTCAGTAAATCTAGAGCTCATCAATTATTTGGAAGACTGGCCAGCCAGCAAGCCCCTGGGGACTCCTGATTCTGCCTACCCAGTGTTATGGTTATAGGTGAATGCCACTGTGCCCAGCATTTGTTTAATTTTAAATATGGGTGACGAAGATTAAACCCGTATCTTCGAACTTGCACAGCAAGCACTGTACTGGTGGAGACGTCTCTCCAGCCCCACTTCAAAAATTACCATTACATTTTGTTGCCCTATCGTTTAAGGTCAGGATTTCATACATTCTTGATAGCAATGAGAAAATCTTTGAAGAAATTTTAGACCAAAGATTGTCATGCTCAGAATTTAATTATTAAAGACAAGCATATATGTCTGTGTATGTCTGTAATCTCAGCACCCAGAAGGCATGGCAGGATTAAGTTGGAGGCTAGCCTAGGATACACAGTGGAAGCGTCTCAAAAGATTGTGTGTGTGAATGTGGTGTGTGCATGTGTGTACCTTTGTGTGCAGGTGTGCATGCTTGTGCATGTATACGGAAGCCACAGGAGGACATCTGGTGTTCTCTTCCTCTCTACCTTAGTCCTTTGATACAGCATCTCCCATTGAACCCAGAGCTTGTGACTTTGCCATTGGTAGGTCCCAGGGATCTTCCAGACGTTGCCAACCGGCACTGTTGTTAGACATGCATGGCTGCGCCCAGCTTTTTATACAGGATCCAAACTCAGTCCTTATGCTTATAGAGCAAGTATTGTTTCTTACAAAATTGTCTCCTCAGCACAACCAAGGTGATTTTAAAATGCTTAGACATTTTGTCTTTAATTACGTGCATGTGCAGGTGCATGCCTGTGTGAGAAGAGGGTATTAGATCACAGCAGCTGAAGTTACAGGAAGTTGTGAGTCCTGTGGTGTGGGTGATGGGAACTGAACTTGGGTCCTCTGCAAGTACTTATTCTTAATTGCTGAGCCATCTCTCCAGCTAATCCTACCTATGGGTCAGGCTCTGCTTTCCTGCCTCTGCCTGTAGCATGTGAAGGGCCCACAATAACAACTGGTGGCCCCGTGGGGGGTGGGTGGCAAGAGGAGGGTGATGGGCTGGAATAACCAGGGGATGGAGACCTCAGGCAGCATGTGTGATGAGAACAGACTCTTGGGAGACAGCTTCAGTGAGACAGTAAGTTTAATAGGGTAGGGGGTGGGAAGGCTGATTAACCTTTGATGGGTGAGTAGGGCCTATTGGGGTGAGTGTACATCATTGCCAGGGTCCGTGGTCCTGAGGATGCCCCATTTGCATAAGGAGGAATTCCAGGTGCTGATGGACTTGATCTTATAAGAGGAGAGGAAGTCTAACCTGGCTTCCAGCAAGTGAGGCAAAGGAGGGAGAACAGGTGTATGTACACCAGGACACACAGGCAGGGGCAGCGATGGACTGAGTGATTCCTGCTCCTGTCGATCTCAGAACAAGATCTCTGGGGTTTGGACCCCACTCTTGTTCCAGGCCACCTACCCAACACCTACCCAAATTAACTTTCATGAGATCCCTCTGATGATCGTGGGGAACTGGAAAGGGGCCTGTATATCTGTGGGAAGCAGAGCTTTCAGGGGTATTGAAGAGATCCATAATAAGGAGATGATGGCCAAGCTTCAGATATGAGAAGGAAGGACACAAGGAAACTCCCTGGATGCTGCTTGAGAGGTGAGTGAATGGTGGGCCACCGTCTACTCCCTGCATGCTTAAGATGCCCAGTGCCCACTGCACCACTGATTCTCTGTTAAAACAAAAAAGGGCTGTAAGTTTAAATATGTTGCCGGAAATGAAAAACTCCACAGAAGAGTTGGCATAAAAATGTTAAGAACTCACCAAGTAAAAACAAAATAACAACTCTCCCAAAAAAGAAAACAGAAATATGGACCAAGCCGGCCTTGTGACTGAGCCCATGGTTTATGTCATCTCTGAATTCATTCTTCACCCTATAGCTAGCAAGGGTCTTCCTAAACAAGCATGTTGTCTACAAACCTTCCCAGGCGTGTCTGTTGAAAAGCTCCAATCATTTCCGATTGATTTTGATATAAGGCAAAACACCAAAATCTTGAATATGGCCTGAGAAGCCCTAACATAATAGCATGGCCCCTGCTTTCTTCCTAGCCTCATTGCCCACTGGTCTTTCCTCCCCAAACCCCAGCTGAATACCCTGCTCATGTCCAGTGATTTAGTTACTTTTGTATTGCTTTGAAGAAACACCCTGACCAAAGCAACTTACATAAGAAAGCATTTAATAAAGAAACCCTGACTGTTTCTGAGGGTTGGTCCATCATCATCATGGCAGGCAGGCATGACATAGGAGTAGTAGCTGAGAGTTTGCATCTGATCCCCAGGCAGCAAGCAGAGAGAGTGGGGAGTGGGGGTGGCAGTTGTGGAATTAGGGGTAGAGACAGAGCATAGGGAAAAACAGACAGGCTGGGCCTGGTGTGGGTTTTTGAAACCTCGAAGTCTACCCTCTCTAAAATACCTGTTCCAACAAGGCCACACCTCCTACTCCTTAAACAGTCTAACTGGGACCAGCTATCCAAACATATGAGCTTATGGGGTCGTTCTCATTCAAACCCTCACATGTAGTAAACCTGTTCCCTCCTGCTCCTGGCTCATCCCTATTCCCTCTGTTCCAAGGCCAGCTCCTGGTCAGTCTCAGAGCTGTGTGTCATCATCATAAGTGACGGCTGATTCCCCCTACCTGTATGACTATACAGTCACTTCTTTCCCCAGTAGACTGTAATCTCCATGTTCCTCTTTTATGTGAATAGCGTGTGGCATCAAGTAGGTACTTTTTATACAAACACACTGTTGTGAATAGAGGTACAACATAGAAAGTGCACAGTGTGGTATCACACACAGTATGATTGTATCTGTAGGAAATGTCTGAGAAAGGCAAGCCTCTATACCCAGAATGTAGATTAGCAGTTGCCAGGGCTAATCGTGGGAAGGAGGTGTGTCTACAAGCTAGCATAGATTTCATTGAGATGGGGAAAATGTACAGTTCAGTCAGTTTACTACTCATTGCAGCGTGAATGTCAAATGAGTCAAGTTTATAGTGTGTATAGTATATCTTAAAGGTGTTTAAGATCCTTTTTATAGTTGGTAAGTGAAGGATTCAAGTCATTACTGGAAATGAGACTTTCATCTTCTGATAAATTGATATACATGTTCCTGTACTCTGTATTTTGTGGCTCTAATTCTATATTTATACTGTTCCTAGGCATATGTTTTAATATCTTATTGGCCTTTTGTATATATTTTTTGATTCTTATAATCCTAGACTTGAAACATTTGGGATAGGTATGGTACATAGTCTAATATGTCTCTGTGTAGCTTTGGGTCAGAAGAAGTCAGTATAAGGAGCTTCCCTTGTGACACATGCAGCTGAGATTGGGTTTGGGGTTCTTAGAAAAGACATACACCAGGGCCCAAGTCCCTTCCCATGTGAGAACATCTGTAACACTGACAGGAAACCTTATGACAGCTTTTGCTCCACTCTGATTTCAGGAATAAGGTGCAGTGTTGGGCTGGGACGTTTTAAAGGCAATCAGAATTTTAGGACTAAAAGGTTCAATCTAAATGTCTCCAGAATCAAAAGCCCCAGGCCCCCAGTAGTGTCTGATTTCCGAGCACCCTTCTTGGTGGGCTGTGAGCATTTCAGCTGATGTGGTTAGAGGCAGCCCAAGGTAAGGATGTACGTGCAGGAATATGATAGGGCACAGGGGGAAAACACTGAGGGGCTGGCTGGAAAGGCAAGGAGATGAAAAAAGACTTGTGGAAAGAAGTTCTCAGCTGGGGAAGGAGGAGGGGGAGAGAGGGAAGAAAAGCAGAGAGGGAGGGAGGCAGGAGGAGAGATCCTCCTAGGTCCTGCTAGAGAGCAGTTCTAGAACAAGGAGCCTGTTCTGACCCCGAGGCTGAGCAGCTCATCAGAGAACAGCTGTCCCCTTAGTTCAGGCTTCAGTGTTTGTTATTAATGCTCCTTCCACCATCAAAGGTTTCCAAGTCTCTGAAGAAAGCCCTGAGGAAGAAAGCAGGGTGAAGGGCCTGCTTGGGTTGGCTTGCCTTTGCAGCTGAGCAGAAATTTACATGTGGCCCAAACAGTGTGACTTAGGGCCATGCCACCAAGGCAAATTTTTCAAATGAGAGACAGTTCACAGTGAAATTTTATAGAAACTTTCTTTAATTAGTGAAACATTTCATTGCATTATGGGTAGAAATAAAACCAGGTCAAGAAGCACAACAAATGACCCAACTCTGTAAGCTACATGAAGAACATTCTGGTCAGTCTTTATAAAACCAGGCACAAGCAATTTACACCAGTAACAATGCTCAGAGGGCCTTTTGAGAATTCACACCACAAACAACAAGTTAAAAATTATCCCCCTTAAGCAAAGACCCCAATAGGGGTTAGTTGTGTAGTGCTTGTCCCATTTGACCATTAGTGATCTTTGTAGAACACAGGGAAGTAAAGCCTACTGGGCAGAGCCTAGAGCCTATCTCCCACCCTGTGCTCTCCCAGTTACCTGCCACTCTCTGGTGTGAGAATGCTGATGACCACAGCCTTTGGGGCCTGTCCAGGATAATGCCCTCAAAAGAATGAACACAGAGAACAGCTTGCTATTTTCAGCCCCACACCGAATGGATATATTTGTTGTTAATCTACCTATAATTCCCACTGTACCTTGTGGGTCTGCCATGGACCTTTTAGAAAGAAAACACCAAATGAACCACTGCTGTTAACAACCATGGCATTAATAAAGGATTAATCTGTTTTTGGTCTCCTTTTCTATGTGTGATTCAGTCTACTATATACATCAACTGCTATCATTTCTGTGTTTAAAAAAATCTCCTCAGAGATGATTATATCCTGAAAATAGGAATGAACCAATTAGTATGCACTAGCTTATCAGTCTATTAGTGTGGATAAGTAGTTGCATAAAGACAGACGTTGTGTAGTACAGGCTTCTAATCTCAGCACTTGGGAGGCTGAGACAGGCTCACCGTAAATTCAAGGTCACCCTATGCTACATAGTGAGTTCCAAACCAGCCTGAGCTGCAGAGTGAGACCCTGTCACGAAGCATGAAGACTAAGATATGCCAACTACCTAATTAAATACTGATGAAGTCTAAAAATATTTGTCATTACTGAAGGTCAGATGCTTTCAATTTAGCTTCACATTTTGGTGATTTGGGGCATCTAATATTTCTACTTTGATTAGTAGGAAAGGTGAAAATTGAACAAATTGTCTCTTCTAGAAGGAAAACATCTGCCAAGCAGGGTGGCTCATGGTTCCCAGCACTCATGACACAGAAGCAGGCAGATCTCTGAGTTCAAGGCCAGCCTAGTTTACATAGTGAGTTCCAGAACAGCCAGGACTACATAGACCCTGTCTCAAAAAACAAAAACAAAAACAAAAACCAACATTTTTAAAAAAGGGAAACATAGTTTATTGCTTTTGTGTCAAGAGAGGAAAATTTGGGCCTGTATATTAAGGCAATGTTCCAATATGTATGTGATATCTCAGTTTTTAAAAAATTTTAAATACATTGAAATTCAGTTTTTAGGAAATTCTATAAGCAGGTAGCCAGATAATGTATAGGGTTCCTTGAAAAAAAAAATCAATGGTGTAAATCTTTAATCCCAGCACTCAGCAGGTAGATCTCTGTGAGTTCAAGGCCAGCCTGGTCTACAGAGCAAGTTCCAGGACAGCCAGGACTACACAGAGAAACCTTGTCTCAAAAACCAAACCACAAAAACAAAACAAAACAAAACAAAACAAAACAAAAAAACCAAAATGGTGGACTCTGAGACACATGGCCACTGCCCTCCAGGATAGCTGAGGTCCGACCACTGGGACACTGATGTCGTTAGTCCTACACTGGAAGCCAGTGCCTTCCAAAGAGAAGCAGCTTGGCAGCTTCTCACAGCTCTTTATCTGAAGTGCCTTCTATCTAGCAGTCTAACACTTGTGGCTCTGTCAGAAAAATGATTGTCACAGGAAGAGGAGGGCACTTAGTGACAGGGAGCCACAAAACACCTGCTGGACTCAGAAGAAATGCCTCTCTAACCTGTGGAGACTTCCTGGATCTATCTGTAACGGAAGCTACAGGCAGACAGACTTTCATCATTTTACAAATATCCCTTCAATATGTGCAGCCACTGTGATTCTGTGTCACTGTCCTATGTGGTAACGATGCCTGCGGGGTGGCAGTCATTGAGCCATTGATTCTGTTCTCTCAGCAGCATACTCCATACCCAAACATCTTTGACTAAAGATGACATCAGCCTAAGATGCTGTAACTAACACTGAACTCTAGTCTAAATGAAGTATCTGTCTTACCCTCACCAACATTCCCAGTGCAACCTCTTGCTTCACAAAAGCACAACTAAAAACCCTTAGGAGCTCAATGCTATCTACTTACAGACACCACCCCACCCCACCCCACCCCACCCCCCACTTGATTCCTACACACTGTAAAACAGTCAAAAGACTTATTTTCCTGAAGATTAGAGCAAGATGCAAAACCTAATGTTTTAGAGAAGGATATCAGGCCCATTTGCTTGGTACATTGTATGAAGCTATCGTTCTACCCTGGGTACCACATCTTTTTGTGTAAGGAGGTGGATGGAGAACAACAGAGACACATACATATTTTAAACACAAAGTTTGGAGAATGAAGCATACTGAATGGGTCAGGCCAAGTAACATTAACAAGTCACTCAGACATTGTATCTACAACAGGGATCACGAAATCCCCTCAGCTCCCAGAGCCCAACCACAAAAGGTTTCTACACAAGATTATTAAATACTTCCGAGACACATGAACACAGTTTTAGAGACATGATTTTATAAAGCAGAATTGCCACCCATGTCACCCTGCTCATTTCCCTCTGTCCATTTCTCGCTTGCCAGTGCTGTGGCTTCACTCCCTTCTTGACAGGCCAGGAGCCCGTGAGGATGCAGGGTTTCCCCTGTCCTGGTCCAGGGCAGGGCAGTTTTCACCGTCTCTCACAAGCTCAGGCAACAGGTAAGTCCCATTAGGTTCGTATGAGGGGTGCTCTTTCATCTGCAGTTCCCTGAGACAGACAGAAGACGCAGAGGTTAAACGTTCATGTCAGGAACTTCTGTCCCTCCACTCCTCTCTTCTTCTTGGCTGTCTTTCCTCTTTAAGACTCTAACCTTACACTGTTAACGGACAACTTCTCCCCTCCAGCCCCCAACATCAGATCTGCAAGCTCCCCTCTGTATGGTCAGGACTATAACCCTTAGCATCCTGGACCAAAACAGCCTCCTTCCTCGTTTGTAACCTACCAGGGAGAAGTGTCTCAGAGGCTGTAGATGCTCACCAACACTTTTGGAAAACCATGAAGATGGTTAATTATGGGGTGCTAATTAGCATTCCTAGGTAGTCTGCTTTTACCTAGGAAAATTCCACTGATGACACAGCCTGGCAGATCCATAGGTGGCAATGGTAAGCAGTGTGCCTTATCTCTAATTCTGGCTATCTCTAATTCTGTGAAAGCCACACAACAGCAGGGTTTTCCAAGCTACAGTTTCAACCAGCTTCGTCTCCTGCTTCGTCTCCTGCTCAGATGGTTTAGCAGGATAACTGAAGGGAAAAGTATGCAGTAAAAGCAGAAATTGCCAAGCACTAAAGAAGGGTGTCTGCACCAGGCCTGGTGGTTCAGGTCTGTAATCCATCACTGAGAAGGCTGAAGCCAAGTTCAAAGCCTGGCTAGACCACAGAGCAAGTTCAGGGTCAGCCTAGGCAGCTCAGAGAGATCTCCTCTCAAAATGCATTTGTTTTTAAGGACGAGGCATGTGTCTCAGTGGGAGAGTGCTTGCCTGTTTTGTGTCAGGCCTTTGCCTCAGTCTCTAGTTCCACAGAAAGAAGGGCTTCTATAGGAGCCATGAGACTCCTGGTCACTTGAGAGGCCAATCTGAGCCAGTTCAACCCATTCTTCCTGGAAATTATGCAACCATCTTTTACCATTGTTATAGGATCTCAACCATAGCACATCAGATATACCAAGGATTCTTAACAAGTGGTCTCTGGCCCCTTTGCTTGACACACACTGGAATTATTTTTATTGTATATAATAACCAAGCTTCTTGAGAAACGTTGAACCAAGTCCTCTATACTTTCTACACCATCTGATTCTCTCCAGAAACTCACAAGGGACTCTGTTATCACTCATTTTACAGATGATGAAATTGAGGCCATTTCAAGACTCATATAGATGTTTAATAGTGGGATTTGAACCCAGGCAGTCCAGCACTGAAGCTTAGGGGATTAAAGGTTTTATATTCTTCTTCTTCTTCCTTTTTTTTTAAGATGTATGTATTTATTTTATTTATATGGGTACACTGTTGCTGTCTTCAGACACCAGAAGAGGGCACTGGATCCCATTACAGATGGTTGTGAGCCACCATGTAGTTTCTGGGAATTGAACTCAGGACCTCTGGAAGAACAGTCAGTGCTCTTACCACTGAGCCATCTCTGCAGCCCAAAGGTTTTATATTCTTGTTTCAAACTATTGTTTTCAAAGATGTGACGTTACCTCCTATGGGATGTATCCAAACCCACTGAGAGGACCTCAAACCCCCAACGGCACCATTCTATCACCCACCCTGCCTTTCTCAATGCATACCAGTCCTGGCTACCACTCAGCCTGTCTGCAACTGTAAAAATCAGTGTTCCCCTCCCTCACAGCCCCCCCAAATCTATCCAAAGGAGCCAGCTGGCAGCCATTCAAGAGATTATTGAAGAATCCCTCAAGCAGACATATCAACAAGAGAGAAATTCCTCCAGCCAGCACTTACCTCACCCATAGACCCCTGTCCTCGACACGCCAACCATGTGAAAACCAAGCCAAAGAGCACGCCCAGTGCCATGATGATGTAGGGTATGTTGGTGACAATCAAAGTTGTGTTAATCACAGACTTCAGTTGACTTTCGGTCTCTTTGTCAATGAGAACATTCTGGATGGGGGAGAAATAGTATTATCTTGAGGACTAGGAATCTCGTGTGTGTGTGTGTGTGGGGTGTGTGTGTGTGTGTGTGTGTGTGTGTGTGTGGTGTGTGTGTGTGTGTGTGTGTGTCCATTTCAAACAAACCAGATATACTGATAATTCACCTAGAATAACCAAAGAGGGCATTTAATCTATTTTCTCTTGAAAACAAGTACAACTCGACATAGATTGAAAATAGAGAAAGATGTTAAGAAACGTTGACAAAATATAGGTTAGAGTCTGAAATGTCCCCACAGGCTCCTGTTTTAAATGTTGATTACCATCTTGTAGGACTGGTTTTGTTTGCTTGTCTGTTTATTTGGGTTTCATATTGAGATAGGCTCTCATTCTATATCCCTGGCTAGCCTGGAACTCACAATGTAGACCAGGATGGCCTCCAACTTGTGGCTCTGCCTCTGGAGTGCTGGGTTACAGGTGTATGCCACTATGCTGCACTGCTTTGAAGGACCAAGGGACCTTTAGGAGAGGGAGAGCTGGCTGGGAAGTGGCTTCCTGATCCACTGAGATGTGACGAATCCAGCCACATGCCCCTGCCACCAACCACCAACCATGCCCATCAACATGGCCTCCATGCCATGATAGACTGAAGTCCTGAAATCGCTGTCTCTCTAGTACTAAGGTGAAAGGCATGTGTCACTACTCCTGATCATGATAGGTAATTTAAAATACATTGTGTTTATCTGTTTGCTTGTTGTTATTGTTTGGTGGAGGTGAGCGTGGGGGTAGAGGGGGAGGAGGAGGGGGTGGTGAGTTCTGGAGACCAAACTCAAGTTCTTCAGCATTAGCAGCAAGCACCTTTATCTGCTGAGACATCTCATTTGCCCCCGACATGGGACTTTCACAGACAGTATCTTAAGCTGTCTGGGCCTCAGTAGAGACAAAGGCTTCATGGGATAGCTTGGCAGTGCTTCTCCTCCAGTGTTCAGCTCCTTTCCCATGAGCAGCCCCTCAGAAGGGAGTTTTAATTCACATGGTGTTCTTGAGAAGAGAAATGTCCAAATCAACTCCCAGGCACAGTCCCCTTCCACATTATGGAAGAGAGACTTTCTGAGGGCAGCTTATATTTTAGAACATCATCTTTGAGACTGGAGAGATGGCTTAGCAGTTAAAAGCATCACTCCTCTTGCAGAGCATTGAGTTCAGAGAAGCCACATTGGGAAGCTCACAAACTGCTGTAACTCAGTGCCCTCTTCTGGACGCTGGGCACTGGCATTCACACCCACACATGCACACACGAACACACATAATTAAAACTCTTTGTTTCAGAAAAGCCACCTTCTCTCCCTTAAATAGCACGTCATTACAGCAGCAGACATCATAATGGAAGTATGCTCAGCTTGGACAGTTAACACATCCTGTGGCTTCCTCCTCTTTCAGGACTTACCTCATTGAGATACATCACTGGGAAAACCATAGTCCTAATGTCTCCCGTTTCACTACAAAGACAAAGGATGGCGTTATTTCATGGACATCCTCATGAAAACATCTCTCACCTGGAGAGACAAGTCCAAACAAAGACTAAAGTGCACTTAATTCACCCGGTTACTGGGAACTGGCCATGGACTTCTCAGTTATCTTCACAGACACAGAAATCAAGACTGCAATACTGTCAGCCAGCAATCCAAACCTGCACATCCATGTGGTATTTTACTGAAGTGTAAGCTACAGATGCAGACCCATCAAAGGGGCGCTGATCAGAGCAGAGGACATAAGTGCCACTCCGGAAGTTTCTAGGCCACCATACTCTCTCTGCAACAAGGGCCCACTTGACCACTGTTTGACTTCTCTGTGATCAGTGTTAGGGGCTTTATTTTATTAGGGTCTTAGAACAGTCACATGCTCTAGTTCTCCTTATGTACAGGGTAGAGAGAGGAGAAACCTACTCATAGAAACTAGGCAATAAGCCCAAGATCCCGGTGACTGGGCAGTGAAACCAGGATTGTAATTAAATCTGGAGAGTTCAGTAGGGGATATACATCAAGGTTTATAGATGGATGGATGGATGGATGGATGGATGGATGGATAGATGGATGGACAGACCAGACAGATGGACACAGAGATAGACACATGTGATTTTATATCCTGTCTTTCATTAAATATTTGATAGGTATTTTTTCAGAGCTAAGAAAAATTCCACTGAAAAATGTGGGCAGAAGCTATTCTTGGGGGTTAATTTTTTTTGGGGGGGGGAGGGGAATTCTTACTAAGGAGTTGTTTATGGTTGAAATGTGGAAGAGAAAGGCTGGATCTTAGAGCCTACTGCTAGTGTACAAATGAGAACTTGTGGTAGCTGAAGCAGAGGGAGTGCAAAGAAAAGAGATGGAGACCAGTATCAAGGGGTAGAGGACATTGCTAGGTGACTGGATAAGAGCCATTGCAGACCTACACAGCCTCATCGATTGTGTGAGTCCAAGCAGGTCACTTAAGTTTCGAGTATAAAAAAAGACAATGTAAAGCCATAAGCTGATGTGTATGAAGTGCCAACAGCAGCACCTGATGCATAGACAGCACCTTATAAAGGACAAGGCTGAGGCACCAGGAACACTGAGACCATATCCCACTGGGGACAGACAAATCGAGCAGTTGGAAGTAGGCTCTATTCCCCCTGATACAGGGCTATCAGAAAGTCACAAGGCAAACCCAGCATCGGCCTCTGTAGGAAGAGGTGACACTTACACAAAGTCATCCTGTTTCTTAACGTAAGTGTTGATCTGGAATCTCTTGGCCCCTCTTAAAATAATTCCAGTCAACTGCAAACAAAAAGAGAGGAAAAAAATTAGAATCTATTCAGCCACATTTTCAACAGAGTGTAACTGTGTGGTTCTGACCCACGGGAACCTGCTGCCATGTGTACAAGGCAGAGTGCACAGGGGGAAACCGGTCTCACAGCAGGACCACAAGTATTGATTGCGATGGGGGTCCTGGGACTTTGTAGGGATGCGAATGCCTGGGAATCTGGTAACATGCAGATTCTGATTGGGAGATCACTATGGAAGACAGAAACAGGGCATTTCTATTAAGTTCCCACAATATTGTCCCTTGGTAGAGCAAAGCCTGGAAGTACTCCACCAGAAGCTTCCAATTCCATATTGAATGTGACATCTGGGCAGCTTTCCAGAGCTAAGAAGCTGATGGAAGTCCCTGCCAGAGAATGACTTCCAAATCCAGAGCCCCCCATACCAGAATACAGGAAGCATAAAGCAACAAGCACATATGTGCCCTGAGGGTACAGGACTTTGCCCATCCCATTGTGACAAGCCCTGACAAAAGGGGACTACCTGATGGCTAATGGAGTAGGAATACAGTCACACCTGAGGGCTGAGGCTGCAGCCTAGCTGGTGCAGGGCTTGCCTAGCATGCATGAAGCATGCTGTAGCCCAGGCTGGCCTTGAACTTGTGATCGTCCTGCCTCAACCTCCTGAGTAGCTGGGATCAGTGAGATCTCTGAGCTTTTCATTTAGCTTCTACGTGCGAGTCTCTACAAGAGGGACTCTTGCACTGAAGGGATCTCCAAACACTTTAACATTCTTTTTTTGTGAACTCAAGAGCAAAGTATATACATGTCTGATACCATCTACATGAATAATATATAAGAAACTGGCCAAAGTACCTATAAAAGGTTTGCCAAAAACCAATGACGCCATTTATGCTTAGATCTGTGTATTCCAAGCAGAGAATACAAATCAGATCTGTAGTTCTGAAGGTGAAATCCAACACTGTCTGACAGCAGGCTGGCTGGTTATGCGGGCACAGCCTCAGCTGGTTTCCTGACTGAATTTGTACTGTTGAGTTCATTTTGTTTTGTGCTGCTGGATTGAATCTAGGGCCTCATGCAAGTGAGGTAAGTACTCTACCGCTGAGCCACAACCTTAACGCCGTGTTTTTTCTTTGCTTTCTTTCCATTTTTCTTTAAAGCAGGTTTGCTGTTTCTGCAGATTTGACCCACAGAGTTCAGCTATCCCATTGTAGGCTATGGACCACAATGTGCACAGTGATCCCCTTCCACCCACTTGAATGGCCATAGAAGGAGGGCACATCCCTTAAGAATGCTTTGGATTAAAGTGAACCTGTGTGTACACAGTAAGACATGCTCTTTTACTGAGAAGAAGTGTGTACTCACAGGATTAATGTCCACAAATGTCTCATGTTCTTCCTTGTTTGGACGCATGCCTTTTATGGCAGAAACGAACTTCTCGTCAGCTTGGTAAAAGTGTGGGAAAGATATGATAATGGGTGCACCTGTGGTGATTGACATAGAAATGAACAAGGCTGGGTTTAAGTCTAAGAAGAATACACAGTTCCTGACTGCAGAGTTGGTTCACAATGGAAAAAGAGAAGCCATACCCAAGTGAGCTTGGCCAGGCTCTGTTCAACATTTACACTGCGTTCCTGGCCACCTGCTGTACCCCATTATTATACTGCGCCCCTATACCAACGCCCTGGCCCATTTATACTTACATAGCTACTGAACATACAAGTATACTATGTATCTATGTTAAATAACATCCCAGGACACTATAGGACTAACAACCTTATCCTCATTTTGCATTTGAAGAAGCCGAGATTCCCAAACACCACGAGAATTTCCCAGGGATCATAGCTGTCAGGCTTTGGAGGAAACGGTCCACCTTAGAGAGGGTCTCACCTCAGAGTACTACTAAATGACAGTTCTCTCTCATGGAATGATGTTTTTATTGTTCTTGTTTTGTCTGGGGTTTTGCTGTTTGTTTCAGACATGGGGGCGTCTTATTCTGCACCTCAGGCTGGCCTGGACGATACTCATTCCATAGACCAGGCTGGCCCAGAACTCACAGAATTCCTCCTGCTTCTGCTTTTCAAGTACTAGGATTATAGTCTTACACTCTCATGCCTTATACTTATGTTTAGTATCTTGAGAGACTGATGTAAGGTCTGTGGGCTGCAAAGGACTGGGAGGGTGACGGCTGTCTCAGGCTTAGCCCAAAGATTTTAATGCCAATCAGACAGGAGAACCAAGCTACTGCATCACTTTAGTTTCGAGAAAGGAGCACCATCATTCAGGAAAGAGGGTTGCCATGCAGCGCTCCAAACGAACCTTAAAGAGGGCCAGAGGTGGTAATCCAGCATTGAGGGAGGCTGGGGCAGTAGGATCACTCTGAGTTTATAGATATCCTGGGCTATACAGTGAGTGAGTTTGAGGCCATTGTCCAAATACATAGTGACAACATCTCAAAACAACCACCACGCCACAGACTTTAAAGAGGAATTCTATTCTAAGTAGCACAAATATTAGAAATGCTAGGGTCAGCCTAGTCTACATAATTACAAGACAGCCAGAGCTATATAGTAAGACCATGTCTCAAAAGAAACAAAACAAAAGAGGTGCTAGCAAAGAACTCCTTAGAAAAATTTCATAAAAACACACCCCATCTCTTTGCTCTGTTCCCATGGTGATAAGATGGGGATACTAAGCTATGCACATCATCTCACAACCCGGAGGCTAAGACTCTGGGGATGGGGATAGAAAGTTTGATGGCAGCCTGGGCTACACAACAAGACCCTTCCTCAAGGGAAAACAACAACAATAAGAAGAACAAGAGCAAAGACCAGTCAGGCAAGGCCTCTGTGAGCAATTCTGCTGTGACAACTGACTGCTGAAACTCAACTTCAGAATGAAAAAGACACCTTTTGTCAGGGGCAGCCTTGATGATTCTCTCTCATTTGTGGAAAGGAACAGAGAGCCGAGGCACCAGGGAACTGAGAGAGGGAGCAAGATGCTCAGAGGGTAAGTACCCAAGCCTGAAGACCCAAGGTGGCTCTCAGGATCCCACATAAAGGTGGGAGGAAAGACCTGAACCCATTGAGGGTCCTCTCACTGCCCCATGTGTGCCATGGTGTGCATGCTCACCCGTTATACACCAAGAACAACAAATTCAAATTACATTAAAAAAAAACCAACCAAACAAACAAACAAAAACGGGCTAGAGAGATAGCTCAGTGGTTAAGAACACTGACTGCTTTTCCAGAGGTCTTGAGTTCAATACCCAGCAACCACATGGTGGCTCAGAACCATCTGTAATGGGATCTTATGCCTTCTTCTGGTGTGTCTGATACACATTAGTGTGTACTCATATACATTAAATAAAGAAATAATTAAAAAAATAAAACCACTGGGAAACTCATGATAAGAGTATAAGACTGAATCTGATTCAAAACCATTGAGAATGTTAGCCAAAGGGTGTGCTACCAAAACTAGAAAATGTTTAATTGTTTGCTATATATGTAACAAAACAGCAGCAGCAGCATTTGACACAGGGGATAGTTATGTAGCCAGGCTGGCCTTGAACACTCTATCTCCCTGCTGCTGTCATCTGGGTTCTGGGATTGCAGGCATATGCCAAAATATTATTCCTGAAAGGTTGGAATTGCACTATATATTAGCTTAGTGACAAATTTGGTTTCACACCTCAGAGCTGTCTACATTCTAGGCACCTGTAACCATAACCTCCCTAGACGTTCTTACCGTTCTTGCAGACGCTGACATTCAACACTCCTGAGTCCATGCAGTTTCCCTCGGGTATACAGAAGCCAGCATTTTCGGAGGTATTGGCTAGTATTTCTGCAGGCACCTTATACCGAAAAGCAGGCAGTCCTGCTACGTTCTCAAAGCCACTGAAGGTTATATGTACCGACCTGAGAGGAGGGAAGGATGCAAAGTCAGTGTAGGAACATGGCTTAGCGGGTAGCATGCTTGCCCAGCACCTGTGAAGGCCTGGGTTCAGATCCCAGCCCTGTAAATGCAGGGTGTGACAGCTCACATAATTGTAGCACTAGTGAGGTGAAGGAAGGAAAATGAGAAGTTCAAGGCCATCCTCAGCCGCATCAGGCTCTGGCAAGTTTGAAGCCAGCCTGAGACACCTGAGTCCCTGTCATATTCATATATATATATATATATATATATATATATATATATATATATATATAAAATAGCTTGCCCAGCTGCAAGGAGAGTTAAGATCCAAATCAACACAGCTGCCTTCTGCCATCTGTGCCGTGAGCCATCACACAGCATCATGTCTCAGTGTGCCTCCAGCACCTGTACCGGGATGTGTAAATTCCCATGCGTTGTGAGTGCCTCTGCTTATCCCACACCCTGTCTCACAGTCCAAGAGCTAAAATACCTGCATAAGTCAGATGAAAAGATGTACAGGACCTCATCCTTGCTTATCAACGGGTGGTAAGAATCGCCATCTGTCCCATTAATCATATTGCATGTGTCTGTGGTCCACCAGTCCAGCGACCTATAGTACAGGAGAGAATACAGATGATCTCTAACTGGTCAGTACCTTTCCAGGTATAAGTGGGGCTGGCTACGGCAGCACATCACCCATACATAGGCACAGAAGTGGTAGGAACTACAACAGAGAAAGAAAAAGTAGACTCCAAAATCGCTTTTGATAACAGCCACAAATTTCTGTTTCTTCCAGAAGAGTGCACCTGCATTGGTGTTTAGTAATACTGGTTTAAGGGCCAGCAAGATGGCACAGTGGCTACATAAAACTCACAGCCAGACTTCAATCTCTGGAATCTATGCAAAGGTGCAGGAGAAAAACCAAGGCCACAGTGTTGTCCTTTGACTTCTACATGCACAGTGTGACACATTACATCTTACATCGTATGCAAACGCAGCAGCAACAATGACAATGGAGAGAGAAATACTGATTTACTTAAAACAGTAAACCCAAGTAGACATTAATGGCAGCCCTACTCTGTAGCTAGGCCCAGGACAGAGGGGCTGTGGATTAGATATATCCCATTCCTTAATATTCGTGGAAGACCATTAACTACTCTCTAAATAGTTCTCCCTTCCAAATAACAGACTTGCCCAGGGTAACAGGAGATGCTGATACTGTGTCGCTGTCACTGAAAGCACAGTTGAGATAGCGTGCTTTAACAGTGGTACATGCAGTGGACTAGACAGGGATGATTCCTCCGGGTCTTTGTATTGAAATCCTGCCTGTCAGGTGATCAGGTCATGAGGGGTGCTCTGACATAAGACTAGTGACCGTAGAGGAGGCCCTAGGGATTGGCACGGCCCTTCCATCACATTCGTGAAGTTAAAGCTAGAAGGAGGCCTCTGTAAGGAACCATATCCCTCCCAGCATCAGAGCTGTGAAGAATACATTTCTGCCTGTTATAAGTCGTGCGGCTTAAGATAGCTTGTTAAAATACTGGGAACAGATGAAAACAGTACAAATGGCAAAGGAAGGAGAGGGCAAAAAATAAATAGAAATTCTCCCAATTTCAGGTGCAGATGGTACTCTAAGTTCCTGCACTGGGGGTGTTTACCATGTGAAAACGGGAAATCAAGGCTGATAAAACACGAAAGGAAAACATTCAGACAGTCTACACCACATTGAAAACATAAATGAGCATCTTCCCAGACAAATGCTGGTAAGTATACAGTGGTAGGCAGAGCTGAAGTGATGTTCTTCTGCATGCCAGAGCTCAGGGGAAGAATTGGAGTTCAGTTCCTAAGTTAGTAAGGAGAGAGAATGTTCCACTAGGGCTAGAATCAGGGTCCAAGGAGCAGAGATTCCCTGCTCACCCAAAGAGGCCAAAGAAAGCAGCTTCTACCCATGGTGTGCATTTTGATGCTGTCCAAAGCTGGTGACTCAGAAATAGCCTCACAGCGAAACCTGAGCCAAGCTGTCTGTGGATTTCCCCTGATGGCATGATGGGAGGCCCACTTTGGGCTTAGGTTCTGAACTATATGGAGGCTGACTGGTACATTGAGAGGAATGAGGGGAGAGACAGACAGACAGACAGACAGACACACACACACACACACACACACACACACACACACACACAACTAGCTTCCCAATGGAAACAACTTTTTTATTGAAACGTATAGTAAAATACAGAAAATAAAGCCATCAAGGAAGTTAATTCACTTTAGAAGAAACTAAAATAATAGAACAGGTTAATTCCATAAATGTGTGTGCTTAGTATCACAAAGTGAAACAGTAGCATTCTTAAAAATAATGCAGACTAGGCCAGGGAGATGGAGGCCAGGCCATGGAGATGGAGGAGGCCAGGCCAGGGAGATGGAGGCCAGGCCAGGGAGATGGAGGCCAGGCAAGAGACAAAGCTCAGAGGGTAAGAACACTTGCTGCCCTTGCACAGAATCCAGGTTAGGGTCCCAGCATCCACATGTTGGCTCACAACCCTCTGTACCTCCAATTCCAGAGGATCTAATGCCTTGTGTTCTCATGGGCATCAGAATCACATGTAGTACACAGGCACACATGCAAAGACAAGACAGTCACACATACAAAATAAAACAAATAGACCCTTTTTTACATAGAAAGTCAGGGAGCCTGACAATGAAGCTTACTGTACAGTCCTTGGTATGCAGGAGCTTTTGAGTTTGAGCTCCAGTACCATTTAAAAAAAAAAAAAAACTGGAGGTAGATGGCGTGGTATTGAAAGAAAGAAAAAGACGAAACAAAATTATGAGAATTTAAAAATAAATAGAAAACTTAAATGTCAAAAAATGTTTTGGAATTCCAGGACAGCCTGGGCTATAAAGAGAAACCCTGTCTCGAAAAACCAAAAAAAAAAAAAATGTTTTGGAAAAAAAACTAACAGGAATAGAACTCCAGACAGCATAGCTGAAGACAAAAATCATGAATTAGAAGATAGTTGTAGGGAATTTACATCAATACAAGATCAGAAAATGAAAAATTAATCAAGACACTGAGACTAGACGAAGAGGCTCCAATAAACATTTAGAGGAACTCAGGGGTTAGGAGGCAGGAGAGGCACACAAGCATGGGCGAGCTTAGCAGCCTGGACATGGTGTGGCCACACCCAACACTTCTCCATACAATGCACCAAGCACCCTGTGAGCATCCTAGGACCCCTCCTTGCATCAGGATGCACTGTCTTAGGCCTACGAGTTGAGCTTGCATATCATTACAATCAGACTCATTCTGGATGGGACACGAGAGAGGAAAAGAAGAGATATAGTAAATCTGTCAATCAAGATAAAAAGCCACGGGGCTGGTGAGATGGCTCAGCAGTTACGAGCACTGACTGCTCTTCCGGAGGTAATGAGTTTAAATCCCAGCAACCACATGGTGGCTCACAACCATCCGTAATGATATCTGATGCCCTCTTATGGGTGACCGAGGACAGCTACAGTGTACTTCAATATAATAAATAAATAAAAACCTTTGGGCTGGAGTGAGTGGGGCCAGGCTAGAGCAAGGGGGGGAAGGGAAGGGGGGGAGGATAAAAAAACCCCACATACATTATGATCCTTATCAATCATACTTCTCGTGAACACTGAAAGAGTCCCAGACAGTAATCGGATCTTTTGAGGCCCCATGCACACGGCCTGCTGGGCGTCTCGAGACCACCTCATTCTGCTGACCCACACTACCATTTTGCTTTGAAGAGGGTCTCTGTGCTATTGTACAAATCTCCCTGTGCTTATTCCAATGCTTTGAATAAGATACCAAGAACCTGGAATCACTGGGCCTAAACACCAACCACGTGTAGCCAGACTCGGGTAAATGCCAGTAAAGTGAGTAGATAGTGGCCGAAACCTTCCCCAGATCTCAGACTGGAAGCCTTAGATTAGAAGTGTGCCTGCCCCAGGGCCAAACAGAATCATGACATAAATCCCAATCTGGATGCAGAAGATCAAAGGAAAGGCAAACACTAAAGGTCAAAGGACAGTTGGCTCACAGGTGCAATTCCAGTGTCTGTGGGGCCAGGCAGACAGAGCCAGAGCTCCAGGCCAGCCTGGGCTACATAGTGAGAGATTGACTCATCCCAAAAGTAAACCAAAGGGGCTGTGGATATACCTCAGAGGTAGAGGCTTTAGAAATACAAGGACTGAGTTTAAAGACCAGTACTACCACTACCACACCCCACTCCCTCAAAAAAAGAAAAACCAAACAGAAAACCCAGGGTCACACGTTTGTGTGGTAACCCAGCACTCATGAGGCAAAGGGAGGCAGATCTCTGTAGTCTACACAGTGAGTTCCAGGCCAGCCTGGGCTACACAGTGAGACCTTGTCTCAAAATTAAATCAAGGTGCAAGGATGTGAATGTGAAAAAAACAGGTAAAATTATTGTCCTATTTGGAAGGAAAAATGAAAAACATGAGCCATAAAAATCTAAGCCTAGAAAAGAATCTAAAAATAAATTCAAATATGTCAAATAACATAACGCACATTTATCCGTAATTTATTATGAATATAAAAGACTACACCACTTTAGTATTATTAATAGGTGAGAAAAGAAGTGTTTGGGTATAAAACAAAAATTAGGTAATAAAAGTTTTTAATTTGAAATATAATACTGAATGAAAATGAATTTCATCTTTAGAAAGAATAACATGAACAAGCCACACCCATGAAGTGAAAAGAGAGGTGGTTCCTCCCTCCTTCCCTCCCTCCCTTCCTCTCTCCCACCAAACAAATACTGGTTTGACAGTCTTTGAACTGTGGCTACCACACATTTATTCTATAACTACCAAGGAAAACCAGCGAGGCTATTCCACGATTTCTAATTCACGCCTGGCCATTGTAAGCATACAAATCTTTAATACTTATTCTCAAGGTGTTTTTTACCCTCACCTTGATTAGTAAACTAATAATTTTAAGAATACTGACCTTTTTTATACAAAAGACAAATGCCAACTTATTTTCCATTGCTGTGATCAAATTCAGAGCTTTGTGTACGGTAGGCAGGGGCTCTGCCAGTAAGCAACAGCCCCAGTATTAAATTAAGACAGAAAAAACAAAGGGCATATTTTGTTTAAATGAAAACTTGGAAAACCTTACGCTAGCAACTCTCACTGGACTTACCTTTTTCCTTTCCACTCCACAATTTTTGAAAAGTTAAGGTAATTGTCTTCTCCAGTCAGAAAAACATACTCGCCGTCATTAGTTCCGTTTCTCTGGAAAGAAATGAGTGTCACCATTAAAGAATGATTGAATATAAACATTAAAATACCAAAATGCGTCTGAAATGCTGTGATATTTTAACCCTCGGGAGCCGAGCTCTGTGAGACAGGACATTGTTGGGACTCAGGCTGCTCTCCCAGAGTGAAACAACTTTCAGGACCCATTCTCTCACAGAGGTAATATTTAAACTTGTTTATAATTGTGTCTGAACAAGCCTTAAGGCTTGCCCTCTGCTGGACAGGAAGAGAAATGCTATGGCGCTATGCATTGAGAGTGAGACCTTGGACGGGCACAGGCTAGACCATGAGCATACTGCCTCGCCCTACTTCAGTGCTTCACTCCTAAGGGAGGTTAGTTTTATCTGCCACTAACTATTCATTTTATGACAGTTTCTTCCCTTCCCACTCCAAAGCCACTGTCTTATTTTTTCACAGACTTTGTAAAAATATTTAGAGCTCCTGGCAATTTTGGTCTTCACCTGGAAGAAAGCCAGACTTGAGATGCACTCTGGCTTATGTGCCCTCTTCCCCCTGCGTGCTGAAGACAGGTTCTATAAAGAAAACTTACCTCAAGGAACAGGCCGAAATTAGGGGAGATGTCAGGTTTGAAAATATGGACGAGGGACAAGATCTCATCTTTGTAGCCCCAGAGCAGTTCGTGTACAGTGTGAGTCACAAACAGCTTCTGCTGATAGGCTTTCAGCATGGCCTCGATGAGCTCCCTGAGGAAGGGCAGCTGGGCCAGTTCCACCACAGTCTGCAGGGCAGAGGCAGGTTAACCAGTGTCCCCCCCACAAAAAACACCCACATCACCCACTTGGCTGAATAGAAGGGGCCGGAAACGGAGATGTAAATGTTTGAGACTAAACAAAATCCAACCAGTGACCTTCCTGTCTCTGTGTGGAGTAAGAGCTTAGCTACTGCCCTTTCTCCTCTCTCTCTCTCTCTCTCTCTCTCTCTCTCTCTCTCTCTCTCTCTCCCTCTCTCTCTCTCTCTTGTGTGTGTGTGTGTGCGCGCGCGCGCATGTATGTGTCTGTCTGTCTGTCTATCTGTATAGATTTCATGGCCTTACACATAATAGACAAATACTCTACCACTGCCTCTATCCTAAGCTCCAGGCCCCTTTTTAGTAAATTTTGAGACAGGGTCTCACTAAGTTGCCCAGGCTAACCTTGAACTCACTCTGAAGCCCAATCTGGGCTTTTTGATCTTCCAGTTTTTGCCACAGAAAGTAGCTGGGATCACAGGCCTGGACCACCAGTCTCATATTACATCTTATTGTAGATGCGAATTTAAACTTCTCTTTAGCAGGCTCTGAATGATGCCAATGTGGCAGAGGTCTTATACACGCATAGGGACCTTTGGCCACAAGGTGGCGCCATTTTCCCTGGAGCAAAGTGGAGGCTGGCCCTTTAAACTCTACCTTTAGCAGCAGGGCAAGGCAAGGCAAGATTCTAGATTCAGATCCCAGTGCTAAGTTGCAGTCACTTTGGAGTGGAGGTCTCAGGGGAGGCTGGTGTAGGTAGTAAAGCTCCCTGGAGGACTGGGGATTCGGCTGTGTGTAAAGCAGCCCCATCTGCCAGATGCTACCATGCAGGAAGCTCCGAATTTGATCCCTAGCTCCACATTAAACAACAAACAAAGGTGGTAGTCTAGCCTGGGCTACAAGAGATCCAGTTTCAAGAAAGAATGCCCCTAAGTTTAAGTGTGTCATAGGTATAACACAGGTGTTATAAGGTGGAATTGTCATCATAATTTGAGACCAAGAAAAACACAGTAGACTCTAACCAAAGGTCTGAAAGGAGAGGGAAATGTCAATCGTGTGTCTTAAATTTTTTAAACTTAGAATAAAAATGTAAGAGGTGACTTGCCAATTCTAGTAGGTTTCTAAGACAAAATGAAGGAAAAATATGTTTGAAATTTCTAGGTACCATTAAAAAAAAAAGTCCTTCCTTATTTGCATAAATGCTAATCCTAAACACAGGAAAAAAATCCCAGAGACCTAGTCTCTGAATGGCTTTTGAAATGACCTTATTTTACAGACCTCAGAAAAAAATCTATCTATATATTTAGTAAAAGTACATACACGTGAAAGGCTGGCTACGTACTGGTGCTGGAGTATGTCTATAATTCAAGCACTAAGCAAATGAAGAAGAATCAATGCCAAGCTGGAGGCCAGGAGGGACACACACACACACACACACACACACACATCAAAGTCTTTCTGCATATGTATATTTTGTGTTTGTTTTCTGATGGTGCTGGAATTAAATTCAGGGATTCATGCTAAGCAAGCTGAGCTCCCCCTCCCCCATATTATCTATATTTATCATAAAATAGCTCTTAAATTATATAACTTATCTTATTATCATGAAATAATAGCTGAAATAATAGCTCTTAAATCATATCATCTTGCCATTTTCCTTCCACAACCCCGTGATAATGATACTAACAATGATGACACTCACCAACAGAGGAATATTTATCGTTCTAATCAAATCAACCTTAGGGTCTCCAACAGATTGGTTTCGTTCAAAAACATATGCCTTATTGGTGACAGCAGATATGGTTGTTCCATTTTCTCCAAACTGAATGTTTGCCTTGTTCCTGTGCTCCCTAAACAAACAAACAAAATTATCTGAAAATAGATACCAGTTTAACAAACAAAGCCATCCCTCCACTCAGTCCTAAAGTTACATTTTTTTCAATATAACATTTCTAATAAAGTGATTATTTACATAGGCTGCTGATACTCAGCTGCAAAAAACTATAGCTTACAGCCAAGATGCTGAAAGGGGATGAGACCTAGGAAAACATCAAAATCTATGGTTTCCACTTTTTTTCTTCCAGAATCAGGAAGACATAATAGTCAAACAGACAAATAATAGACAAATGAACTGTTTCCTCAATTACAACTTGGTCCTGAAATGTTTTCAATTCAGTTCACAGGTTCGGTTTGGTTTCAATTTGTATCCTGGTGCCTCTGATTCCAACTATAATTTAGTTGTAAATTTGTTTTAAAAGTTGAGGCCACAGCTAGGTATATTGACACATGTCTGTAATCCCAGCAGGAGGGTAACTGTCAAGTCTGAGGGTAGCCTGGTGTACATAGTAGCATGACTGACTCCAAAAATTTTTAAAAAAATTGAGGCCCAAAGCTCTATTGGGGGCAGGGGAAGAGAAACTCACAGAGGTGAGGAAATGAATTGGAATCAACACAATAAATTGGAATTTATTCCCGTTCCTATGCATAATTCAGCTTAGTTCAAATCAGTTCACAAAATGAGAAATTGCTTAGAAAGAGCTTGACTGGTAGTATAATAAGTGACAATTGTTTACACTGACAAGTATTTCTAAGTAGCTGGCTGAGAAGGTTTCTCAATGCTTCTGACACAGGAAATGGTAAGTATCTGAGGTGATGGATATGCCCGTTCACTGGGAACAAATCACTGTGTCAAGAAACACGTCTCTCAGAGTGCTTGGGGTGGGTGGGTGACAGCTCATGCCTGTGATCCCAGCACTTGGGAGACTCTTGTAGCCCACATTGGCCCCCAGTGAGGGGCAATGCTCTTGTCTTCCCAAGTGCTAAGATTTCAGGCATGGACCGTTACATCTGTCTAGAAAATCTTTCGTTAAATACATGGTTAACAAAATGTTGTCTATAGACGCATACAGGTTAGAAGATGGGCCACGACCACTTCCCCCATAGGCCCTTTTGACCTTGGGATTCTGGTTGTTTTTTTGTTTTTGTTTTTTTTGTTTTTTTTTTTTTTTTTTTTTAATTTCGTTTTGACCAGCTGTCCATCTGTGAAGTTTGCTAACTATACTTGCTTTAGGCACTCAGTTATAAACTTCTGAGTGAAATCCTTTAGACTGTGAAGGAATTGGCATGCAGCCTCCGGTAAGATGGTAAATAAGCCAAGGGCAGAAGCCTGAATATTTTGTCTTAACTCCTCCTAAATTCTCTGTAGTTTGGGGTTGGTTTTGTCTTTGTTTTTAAACAAAGTCCTGCTAGGTGGTTCTGGCTAGAACTCACTATATAAATCAGACTGTCCTTAAACTTGCAGTGACTCTCCTGCCTCTGCCTTCTGAGAACTCGGATTATAACTATAAGCCCCCTGCGTCTCATACTTTCTAGATTTAAAATAATAGAAAAGAAAATAATAAACAAAGGCATGTGTGATAAACAGGCACACAAGAGAACAGAGAAGCCTTTGAATGTTCTATAGCGCTAAGCACTGAGCTATACACAGTACGTATGAAGATCTGACCTTTGCAGAGCTTCCTCTGGGTCGGACCTCCTAAAAGGTGACTTAACAACATCAGTGGGGTGTAACCAATGAATGCCTGTAATACAGACCAGATTTAAATAACTATGAGAAAGAAAACAGTCAAATGTCTTCTAGGAATATACAATGTACCAAGTACAGATGACTGTGTTCAAAAATATTTGTTTGACCTTCAGAGGTTTTCAGTGACTTTTGTTTTTTGATTTCTGGTCCCTTCTTCTGGTGGCAGCCTGATTTCCTTTCCTCTCTGTCCTGGACCACTACACAGGGTGCTGGGGGCCTGAGTGTAGCAGTTCCTATGACTTCTCAATTGGGACCCCCCCTTGAGGCCCAGCATCCCCCAGTGCAGCTCATGGGATCTGATGAAGTACACACTCCTATGACTCAGATCTTTAGCTTATGTTTTAGGTTTGGTTTTCTGCTTTGAGGCAGGGGCTCACTACACAGGCCAGGCTGACCTTGAACCTGCAATCTTGCCTCAGCCTCCTAAGTACTGGGATTCCAGATTTGTCCCACTGGCCTGCTTCACCTCCTAAGCTGTTCCTTTTGTCGCTAGTAAACTACTTGCTTTACATCCTTCAAACAGGCTCTCCTGACTCCTATGGAGAACGGGTACTTTCCCTCTCTTGAGATCAAACATCCTTCCTCTAGAAGTTATACCCTAGTCCTTGTGGATGAGAAAACAATTTGGGGACCAGACAGATTTGAAGTCTGGGTCATTTGACCTCAGTCACAGAAGTTAATTCAAAGTGATTATTAGAAGATGAAGGAGAGGAAATTTTCAAGCTAAACACTTGCTCAGCCAAAGCTGCCCCTCCACAGAAGGCTCCACTCCCGCAGGCCCTCTCCCGAGTGTCCCCACATTGAGATGGAGGACAGACCTTCTTCAGGAACTGGTTATAATGGTTATTGAGTACCCACAGTGATCAACATGCCCCCAAGGACTCCAAACAGGTGGCCCAGGTGAGCACCAATTTGAAAAAACAGGAGGCTGGACCAGGGAGCAGCACCTGTCACCCAGATAGGTCCAGGGGCCAACGCGGTCAAGTTTCCTAACGTCAAAATCAGAGTCTTTACTAAGCAGATTTTGCTTATGTTTTCTTCCCCGGAGATTTAGTTCATGAACCTAAAGGCCTGATCACTCCCAGGCCTATTTCACTTACCCTTACGTATATAACACTGACTGAGAAGACGACTTTTAAGAAGTTCTTTACTATGTGGAAATCTAAGGGTAAATTGAGGACAGAGATGCCAATCAGTTTAGGCCTGTAACCTAACTTGGTTTCTTAATAAAGTTCACTAGTCAAAGCCAAGGTTTTCTGATAGTATCCCCATGGGGTGATGACTCAGTCAGACTACTTACAGCTGACCTCATGACTTCCCTCAGCTACTTAGAATCCTCCACTGATCCTAAATCATCACTGACTCCTGGCTTTTACAGAGTGCTGTACATGGAAAGAAAAAAACCAGTAAGACACCTGGCTTCCTACTCTGCTGAGGGAGAGAAGGAGAGAGGAAGAGAAAGAGAAAAAGAGGGAGCTTTCCTCTCAAAACAGCATGATCAGCCAAAAAAACCCACTTTATTTTTCCTCTGGCAATGCTCAGACAAGGAGATGGCCGTGTACATACACATGAATGCATGCCAGCTACCAGCTGATCAACAACAGTCAACTAGACACAGTGAAGTTGTTGGGAAACAAGAAACAGACAGCAAGAAGTGATCAGATTACCATCAACATTAAAGAAGACCTAAGAACTATCTAGAAATACAGACAACTGATTAAATCAGAAACAAAAGCCATCTTGGACCTAGACAAGGAATCAAGGAACTGTATTTCCAATTGCCTGGTATAATTGCCCTGTTATTCAGTAGACAATAATAATCTGAGACTACAGTTTAATGTTTGTTAAAAACTATGGTGGATCTAAGCATTAAAAAAGAGAGAAAAAAAGAAAAGAAAGAAAAAGAAAGTGAAAGACAGAGAGAGAGAGAGAGAGAGAGAGAGAGCGCCAGGAGGGAAGCCCCATCTGTAGACCCTGCTCTGGGGATGCTGAGGCCAGAGGATTTCAATTTTGAAGACATCCTAGGCTATATTGTGAGACTTTTCTCAGAAAGAAAGGAAGGGGAGAGAGGGGGAGGGAGGGAAGAGAAGAGAGTTGGATGAAAATCCTGGTGTGGCGGTATTACACGGAAGGTCAGCACCACGGAGGCTGAAGGAGGAGGTTACTTGAATCTAAGAATCCAGAAGTTTCAGACCAGCACAGCTTACATACACCAAAGTACTGCTTTAAAAAAACAACATCAGAAACAAAACAAATTAAGAAGGAAATGAAAGAAAGACGCCTGGCATGGTGACTTCCCCCTGCAGGCTCTGGCTTTGGGAGGCTGCAGTAAGACTGCTGTAACTTTGAGGTCAGCCTAGAATACACAGTGAATTCCAGATCAGCCTGGGCTGCAGAGCAAGAGTCTCTAAAGCAAACAAAGGAAGGAAATGTTTGAGTTATACCCTGAGAACTACTGAATTACACAGGAAGAAGGAACACATGGAAAGAAATAGAACAGTTTTAATTCACTGGAGAAATCAACAGCTGTGCTTCCAGCTCCTTTGAGACGCTGGGTAAATTGGTTCATATAATGTGTTAGGTTAGGGATGGGTGACACCTCTCAGCACTGTAAAAGCATTTTCCCAGCATGCACTGGGCTCAGTCTGTAACACCAAAAGGAAAGCAAGCAAGCAACACCCTGACCTTTAGTCATTACGTTCATCCCAAAGGGGGTTAGTCATGGATTCACCCATAGCTCTCTATGGAAAATCACTGTGGTTCTATCAGGGCGGTGGCTGGTATCAGTGACCCAGCTCACCAGACGGAGGTGAAGGCTGAGGCCTGGCTTTTTGCTCAGTCCTGTCCACAGTAACACTTGGCTCTGGGACTAAAAAGTCACTCGTGGTTTCTTTGGCTTTATCTTTTTTAAGATAAGGCTTTACAATGTTGCCTTGGCTAGCCTGAGACTCATTCTGTGAAAGTCAGCCATCCCTCTGCCTCGGCCTCTCTAGTGGGAATTGAAGTGTGAGCCTGCTCTCCACGGCTTCTGTCTTTGTTTCTTCATTGGTAAAGTGGCGACCGCAATGTGCCTATCTCACAGAGATGCTGAGAAATAAAGCTTAGAGATGTAAAGCTCCGGGGAAGTTCACAGCACACACAACATTCAGTCGTGACCGTGTCAGGACACTTAGTCATGACCGTGCGGCATCGCCACCTGTGCCAGGTTCTGGAGATGTGGGATGCTATGAAGCCTCCTGTCTTCAGAGCATCCACACTGAGGCA